CGATGAGCTTTGTAAAAATCGACGTGTTTCAGAAAGGCGGGGCATAGAGGAGAAACAATAAATAAAGAATGTGGAAAATAATGTGTTTTTTTAACCTTAAACCGCATAAACACATTGCATTACACCAAATACACAAAATAATGTTCTTTTTAGCAACGTCATATGACCCCTTTAACATGGCCTGGGACAAAATTTTTTTAGGTTTTCCCAATTGCCCCTGGGCCCAATAAGTGGGCTAGGACCCAAAGCAACATTCCTGGGTGTTCAAAATCACAAACTCATGCTGTCTATACAACAGCAGATGTCCTGATTTATCTCTCTCTTTTGAGATATTTATACCCACTGCATTCATAACAAACACTCTGTCCAAACTGGCACCAACATCCATGCAGTTGGGAATCCTCTTTCTTTCTCCAGCTGATGGATCTGGATACTAAAACAGTTGGGCGATACCTGCTTCCTCCCAGCATGCCTCTTCTCAGCATGCTGAAGGATTCTGAAGGATTCCAGCATGAGTCTGCTGCTTTAAGGCTAATTAACCCCCCTCTGACTAACACGTGCCCTTCACACGCACACATACAGATGAAACATGACTCTCAGAACATCTCATCTGCATTATGGGACATCAACCAGCACTGACCTACAGCGCTCATACTTGAAATGAACTTCAATTCAGCACAGGCCAGATTCAAGGTTGGCATACCTGTCGGTAAAGTGAATCCTTGTTGGCCAGCTCGTTCTCTAGCTTGTCGTTCAGGTCATGGATTGAGGTGGTTTCTCTCTGAGCGGCCAGGTAACGCTTTTCTAACGTTGTGATTCGCTCCTCCATGTCCTCCTTCTGTGCCATCGCCTGTTGAACAGGCACATAGTAAGAGAAAACAAAAACCCTTGGGAAGTTTGAAAACCTTTAACAGATTACATTTAGGGAATAATTTAGTAACAATAATTTAGGGAAAATGTGCGTAAAGTCAGCATAAAATAATTTTCTACATGCATCTTATTGTTCCTATTGTGAATGCTTCATCCATGAATGAGTTAAAAAAAAAAATCCAATTTTTTTTGAGCTGGTCATTTTTAATCAGAAAGTCAGAACTGGAACTTTTGGTGGAACAACAGACTTCTCTCTGGTGACATATGCAAGATTTCCTCAATCATTTAGTCCGCTTAAGTCCCGCTCCTTTCTTACAATCGGTTGCGAGCTCGAATTCAGATCTGCCTCCATCCAATCAACAACTGATGGATAGAACCAAGTTCCTGCCCTACTTTTTTTTTGACAATTTGTTTCATTTGGATGTGCATCACAATATGGAAAAAAATCTGTCACTACTTGTTACATCGCAACTTAACTAGATATAATTACAAAAGGGATTGAGCACTCAAAATTTAAAATTCTATAATGTTGTTACAATCCAATATGACTTTTCTTGTGAAAAAAAACAAAACAACAGAATCTTTAAGCTACTCTTTTCTATACAATGAAAGTGTAAGGTAATAATATCAAGCTCCAAACATGACAAAAAAAACAACCAGACAAACAATATAAAAATATATTCTAAGTTTTCTCAAGCCATTTCATAGCTTTGTGTGAAGAACACACCAAAATTGAAGGCTATTATTCACTAAAATGCACCTCTCTCGCAGTAGCAATCAATACTTAAGGATTCTGTCGCATTTGGTTACAAGACCACAATGACCTGGTTCTATGTTAAGTGAATATACTTCAGTTGTATGGAAAAGAACGGCATGAGCATTCTACAAAACATCATCTGTGTTCCACTAAAGAAAGCGACACATATTTTAGACCTTGTCAAGGAATGAGTCACAATTGCATTATATGCAACCTTCTGTTTCTCAGCGAAAATAAAGCAGAGCTGAGAAAATATCCTCACTGCTTGATGTTTTATCTTCCCTGAGACAAGCCCTCATCGGCTTGTCCCCATTCTGTCCCTTTCCTCTCTCCCCAATCATTCTAACCTCGCGTATGTCCCTCTGGTGTTTGGTGCTCAGCTCCTCGTTCTTCAATAGGTCTTTGCGGGCCGTAGCCAGTTCAGTCTCTAGCTCAGACATGCGATTGGTCAGGCCGCTGACCCGCTCTCTGTTTTGGGCCAGCTCCTTATTGGCCTTATCCAACAGTTCCTGCAGCTCCAGACACCTGCTGGTGTCGTCATGGACATCGATGGAACCATTGGGAAGCCTCTGTCACAAACACACAAACAAAGAAATGTTAGTGATGCAATGGAGAGCTAGTTGAGAACTTTAAAACTTGTTTATCGGTCCCCTGATTTCCACTTAGGGTCCTAAATAAGCTTCAGAATGCCAAAATAAACTTCTAAATCATTTTCAGAGAGGCAGAATATGCTGAGTAAGAGTCTGAAGAACACACTCAGCAAGTTAAGCAGCTTGACTGCAATTATGGCCTCAGGAGTTCAGAGGTTCTTTCGCATGCATCATATTGTGACCGTGCATTTCATCCATCTACATTATACAGCCAAACAAATGAAATCCTCCAGACCAGTGATTTTGCCAGCCTTCAAACTCAGGGTTGCTCTGCACATTACTGGAAACAAAAATACAACCAGGGTTAGATGGGCTAGGGCTAGATTTTCCCCCAAAACTGGCTGCTTTCGCAAAACTGAAATTAAAAGTAAATTAAAATTAAAAACCCTCTCTTAATTTTAAAATATGAAAATGTCATAATATACATTTTCAAAACTATAATGATCCAAACAATGTGTGAAATAAACAACAAAAGAAACATTTTTGCTTGTTTACTTCAATATATATCATTTATATACAGTATAATGCCTTCAGTTGTGGTCGCACTGAACAACAATTTTATTTTTTTATTTTTTATTTATGACACAAAATGTCATTTCAAACACTTTCTATCAAGGAATGCTATTAAACACAGTACATGATTTGAAAAACTAAACCCTTTCTTTCCACTGCAGACTTTGAGAAAGCAATTTCAGCTATTGTCTTTACTAATGGATTATTGTAATTCCCTGTATTATGGAGTTGGTGCGGGAGCACTAGCGCGCTTACATAAAATCCAAAATGCAGCTGCATGACTCGGTTACGCCATTACTAATGTCATTAAAGTGGCTGCTAATACGGCATAGAATTATTTATAAGAAAGATTCCTATTCTTGTTTTTAAGGCCCTACATAATCTAGCCCCGGGTTACCTGTCCAGTATGGTGTCAGTATACACTCCTTCCAGATTCTTGAGATCAGAAAAACAACACCTTCTCTGTGTTATTAAGACCAAATACAAATATAAGGGTGATAGAGCTTTTTCCAGAGCCGGTCCAAAATTGGTTAGTCGGTGATTGTAAAGCACTTTGGGCAACCTGTGTTGTATTAAATTGTGCTATAAAAAGAAAGAAAGAAAGAAATGTGGTGGAAATTACACTTATTAATATTCACAGAGAAATCTTCCACATGAAAAGTCCACATGGCCCAGAGTGCCCACAGTTAAAAACACCCTCATATGGTATGATCTTTGACTTCCTTGGCTTTATCAGAAATTTTGCAGAAGCCTATCGGTCACTCTACTGGGAGTCCACAGAAAAACCCACGTCAGCCTCTGACAGGCTGAACTTAGCTTTAAGTATTTGATGAGCCATGAACCACAGGGACTATCAGCCGTATTTCTGCCCTCCAGGGAGGCTTGAGCCAGCTCTGAGAGACACACAGTCTGGAGCACGTCTGCAGTCTCTTGCAATCTATTTCTGTCTACTTTCATCCTCTCCATCCAGCTCTATATAATTCATTGTTTCTAATCGCACATGCAGTTTGAAGTCAACTGTAAATTTACATAAATATAAGATGTTCCTGGTAAAATTGTACATTTCATAGAAAGGCCAGGGTTTGGAAATGGTTTGGAAAAGGCCTGCAGGCTTCTCATTTCCATTGTCTTCTTCTAAAGATGTAATATTACGAAACACAACCTTTCAGGTGCTAACAATTCCCAGGAGAAACCCACCAGAACATGTTTTGCTCTTGTTCTATTAAAATCAAATTATAATAATAACCATATTATTATATACTATAATAATCACCATCAGAGAGATTCGAGCCCATGCATTTTGAGAAAAACTATAAAAAATGAGGTCTTCCTCAGTCCACATTTCCTTAGCTTCTGACTACTTAAATACCTGACAGTGATGATCTAAAATAAACACAAAAAAGCCAGACCATGGGTGACATCTGGAGGAGCTCTGCTAATAAATGGCACAAGTAGAGAACTTAAAGAGCTTCACACACAGAGACTGGTGAAAAGACAGTGATTCACACACGGTAAAGTATCAAACAGTCAGCAGGGCAATGTTCCTTCTTAAGTAGGAGCGGTAACATTTTAGCTACCTTTTCAGAGTTAGAAAACTTTCAGAAAAATAATGACACACAACACTGACTGTCTGACAATGTGATGTTAAAAATGATGTTAAATCACCTCCATGAAATCAAATTAGGAGTTTTATAACTAATACTATGGCTGTTATCTATAAGCTCATCTCTATGCTACTGCACTCCAAAAAAACGAACAAAAATAGTCTATATTTTAGTAAATATACACATTTAATACCTTTAAGTCCTATGTCCTGCCACAACCTCCTGTTTCAGAAATACAGCGACATGAAAAGAAAAGCATGTTTGTTTAGTCTGTCTTTAAAGTTGTGATGAAACAGAAGTAGTGTCAGATCTGATATAACATTTTGAATAAAAATGTTAAAAATGTTTTAACTTTTTTTTTTATTAAACACGTACATGGATGAATCCCTCACAATAAGCTATATAACAAGCATTTAGAAAATAGATAGTAGAAAACAGAGAGTACATTTTCTTTTCATGCCGACTTTCATAATGAAACCACAATCTAATATCTGCTCCCGAACTAGTTTTGTGTACTAATGAGGAAATCGATAATGCTGCATTGAAAAAATCTCTTACTACAGAAAATCAATCAATAGCATTTCACACACATAAATAAAAGGTAACGTGATATTTAAACAATGAACCATGGGATCAAAGATTAAGAGCAATTCACAATTCTCCTATTGACCAGACTCCTGCTGGCTGGCTGACTGCTAGAAGTGAGTCACACTTAGAGACAGGAGACAATTTAGCAGCCTGTGCTGAAGGTTGAAGGGCAACTTGGCACATAATCAATGTGGTTTATTTCTCAGTAGCGAAGAAAATACCATCTGTGAGAGAGGTATTAGAGCAGGAGGGATCCCTTTTGGACCAGTGCCTCAGATATAAACAGTTACAAGGTGGAAGTAATGATAAAACCTATGGGGTCATTCATTAACGTTTAAAAGACTCTTATGCTCACCAAGGCTGCATTTATTTGATCAAATACAGTAAAAACAATAATACCGTGAAATACTATTACAATTTAAAATAACTTTTCTATTTAAATATATTTAAAAATTAAAATTTTCCTTTGATGGCAAAGCTTAAGTTTTAGCAGCCATTGCACCAGTATTCAGTGTCACATGATCCTTTAGAAATGATTCTAATATGCTGATTTGGTGCTCAATAAATATTTCTTATTATTATCAATGTTGAAAACAGCTGTGCTGCCTAATAGTTTTGTGGAAGTCGTGATACATTTTTCAGGATTCTATGCTAAAATAATGTTTTATTTGAAATATTTTGTAACAATCTTTTATAAATGTATTCACTGTCACTTCTGATCAATTTAATGCGAAAAGAAAAGAAAAAATCTTAATGACTTATCTTAAATCTTAAAATTATCACGTTTGCAGAAATGTACTTAAGAATGCTTTAGAACACAAGGCTATTTTAAGCACTATCCTAAATTTAAATATTTAAATGTGTAGGGATTTCTAAATATGAACAGACCCTGATATGCCACTATCAGCCATCATGAGGTCCGGATTAATTTAATCAAGAGCATGCTAATCCAACTTAAGCAACTACAACACATGTACCTTCCATGTAGGTTTAGAGCTGTCCATTCTGTCCACAGAATCCCCATCTGCTTGTCCATCCTTTCTCTGTCTCGACATGACCACCTAGATAAACAAAAACACACCAAACAAAGTCAAACTATAAATGTTTTAAATATGTTAAACTAACCTACAGTACCACAGAACATTCATGCTACATTAAATGTGGCATAGCACATAATTACTTTTAACGAAGCACAGCAGAGGCAACGATGCAGTTTTTTTTTCCAATTGCACATTATGAAGATGTACATTTTGGGTGATAGTGGGATTTAATAGTGTTCCTTTTAATGGCATTTGAGCGCTGTTCCTGTCTTCTTAAGGCAGGCTAGGAGTCTTGCGGGAGATAAGATTATACGAACTACCCATTTTGAGGAATTAACTTATCATTGTGCTTAAAAGCCACATGTTATTAAGGTATTAATGAAATACTGGTGGGCCATTTGCATTTTAATCCTCACATATCAGACCCACTGAATGTGAAAATTGGAGGAAGACAATTAAAATATGTACACATTCATTTGCATGGCAGTATTTGGATGAAGGGATGTGATTTACATATTCACAAGGCTCTCTTTATTACAGCTCATTTGTATTGGAGTATTAGAGGGAGCTGACGAGAGGAGGAGTGAGTGGCACCGCTTCTTAAAAATCCCTCAAATCCCTCTACTGTATGAGAGCAACATTCAAGACAGCTACAAGTAGACTGAAGAATATGCAGCATTACAGTCTCTTTATCTCTGGTATGAAGACAATACAATCAGGTTTGGGAGGGAAGAATGAAAGAAAATTGTGGTTTTAGAGTTTTATGACACACAATCCACCACAAGGACCAGTTTACTTCAAGTTATGATTAGCTTGTAGTTTGGCAGTTTCAAAGTTGATTCCCCAACACTGGTGATGACCACTTCCTTTGTTTCCTTTGCAGCATTAGTTCCTGTTTGTCCTGAGACAGCATAAAATCTTCCCGCTGGTCTTAATGCAGCATCATGACACCCAGAGGCCACCTCACATCCCGCCTCTGCAGTGCGGACTGCAGCCAAAGACTCTTCTTACTCAGAGGATGATGAAAAAACAGCTTTTTTTTGTCAATGAGTTCACACATGGTGAATGACCCGTACTAGACAGTTATGAATGATGTGAAGATTTATTCAATGGGAGAGTGTAAAACTAGGCCACTAAAGCATGCAGCACTTTTTTTTTAATAAAGGCCATGCATTTTACATTTTATATGTATTTTTCACTATAGATTCAGTATATGTCTCCCACTGGATGTTTTTAATTAAATATTAAAGGGATAATTCACCCAAAAATGAAAATTCATAATTTACTCACCCTCATGTTGTTCCAAACCCACAATACCTTTTTTCATCTTTGGAACATAAATAAATGTATGTTTAATATTCTTTCATAATTTTTTCCATCCATTGAAAGTCTATGCAATCAACATTTCTGATTACAGAATTGTCATTTTAATTTTCAGGTGAACTAGAATTTATGATGGAGATACTGGACAGTGTTGTTGATGGTCGCATAATGTAGTTTGCGCAAAGTCTCTAAATCTGCAGTGAACTGCAGCAGGCAGTTATTGCAAATAGTATCTCAGATACAGAGTTCTGGCATGAAACTCTAGATGGCGCAGTCCGATAGGTCTAACTCAATCTGACCTAATGACATCATTATCACATGGCACAGCTGATTGGTTCTCTCCTGTATCGGTAGCCAATGAGCTCACTGCTCAAAATTCAAATATATGACTAGTGCTTGCCGTAGCAGTTGCAACTTACTTCAGAAACCCTCCACCTTCCCCAGCTCCACCTGTATAGATCTGCTATGAGGTGATTCGTGTATTCTATATGGGGGTTATTTCATGTAGGGCTGCAACTAACGATTATTTTGATAATCGATTAGTTGGTTGGTTATTTTTTCGATTAATCGGATTAAAAACAAACTATTTTCTTTTTTTATTTTATTGACAAAAACACACTATTCCACATTCTGCCCAATGTCCTTAAAACAAACGTTCCAACTGAATGCTATGAAAACATACAGTGCATAACAATTTATTAGACCACCTGCCATAATAAAGAGAAAACACATTTTAGGAATTTTAGGAATCTGTCAAAAAATTGTTTAAATCAAAAAAATGTTATTGTCATTTATTTATAAATACTTTTATTTATTCACATAACAAAAATGGCTGTTTCTCATATGGACGTCTGTAAAAATTAATTTACTTATCGCCTCAGTGATAAAACTCATGGGTTCCGAATAGGGCTTAGTGTCATTTCTTTGGTTTTGAAGCGTCTCATATTTATATTCAGACAATTATACGCTTTTATCCCCTTACAGTTCCTACTCTCATAAAATATGCGCAATGCATGTTGACCTTTAAACCTTAATTTAACTTTCAACAACAGATATTTCAGCACAATAAATGTTTTTGCGCTGATTATTAATTGTCTCTATTTTCCGTCTGTCTGACACGCGTGCACGCGCCCGCCGCGCTGGTGCTCATTCAGTAAAGATTCAAATTTAACACATACTGTCAGGACGGACCTTTATGCAAAAATGGAAATGCTCGCGTGAATTTGTGACATTTATACATAAGGATATGACCGTTAACTGAAAGTTTTTTTGCGCTGAGGACGCACACGCATCTGTTAAAGCGCCTGACAGGGCAAGACATTACACTAATGCATTAGCTTAAAGCTTAAAATAAATTTATAATTCTCATGTTTTGGGCAGCTTGGATCACGTAACTCTCCTGCAGCATCTTATTATGTTTCCTCCACTATTTTAGATGCATTTTGTCCATAGAAATAAGTAATTCAGTGCTTTAATTTGACGCGACCGGCTGAAGTTGGACAAGTATGTAAACTCCGTTGGACGTGCACTGTGGGCAGACCCGATTAATCGATAATGAGAATCGTTGTCGATGATTTTCATAATCCATAATAATCGATTTTATCGATTAGTTGTTGCAGCCCATGCGCGAAGGTGATGTATTTCCTCCGCGACCACCCTGCCGCAGCAGCAGCAGCAGCGTAGCAGATCTATTCCGCCAAGACCAAATACATTAACATTGTCATGTACATTACCATGCCAATCCCTCCGAGAGTTGTCATGACAGAAATATATTCTCAGTGTAAATAAAGAAGAAAATACTGTTAAAACTGGATGATGGGCATTTTGTAAAAAAAAAAAGTAATTTGATTACTGAAATATTAAAATGTAATTTACAAATAATCAGTATGAGTGGTACGTGAAATGTATATTTTGTTTTATTCACAAATGTTACATAAAGAATTAAATGAACATGAATTAAAAAATAATGATAATAAAAAAACATTTAAAAAGTATGAGGTTACAGAGAAAACAATCAGAGTCTACAATTAAAACCCATGAATTATGATACTACGGTATGTCAAGTGCATTGGCTTTGTTTGAACTCTCACAAGCATGTGCATGATGGAAACAGACAGCGTGTATTACCCACATGGGTTGACAGCAGGGGGCAGGTGCTCATTGGACAGATGTTAATGAGATCAGCAAATCCATACCATTGTGCATGTAGGGATATGCCGGTATAAAATTTTCATGTTGCGATTAATTGCTAATGCTTTTATTACGGTATACGGTATAATCACGATATTGAAATTAAGTAAAAAAAAAAGTGCTGTCATAATACAGTATAACAGGTTTAATAACTTTTTTCTTATAACAAAAATAACTGAACATTTAAATGCAATAAAGCAATACAGAAAAATGTATAAAGTTAAAAGTTTTACACAGATTAAAGTGCAAAAGAACTATAAAGACCAATAGGTATCACTTTACAATAAGACCTCATTAGTTAACCTTAGTTAATGCATTAACATTCACAATGACCAATAGCTACATTTGCTACAGAAGTTATTAATCTCTGTTTAAAAAATACAAGTCTTAGTTCAGGTTAGCTCATTAAATAACACAGTTGCAACTTTAGATTTTAACAACCTGTTATTAAATATTAGAATACCTAAGATTAATGAATGTTCAGAAGAATTTTTCATTGGCAGTTTAACTAATGAATTAACTAATGTTAACTAATGAAGCCCTAATGTAAAGTGTGACCGAACAATAAAGAATCAAAACACTTTCAAACAATATCTAGGGCATGTTGTAGTCCAGATTAAAATGTAAAAAAAGTTTGAAAATAAATAGCCTATTAAGTCTAAATATGTAAGTATTTGGCGCTGTGATGAACATCATAGCAAATACACAAATCTGAATGACTGCTTAAATCATTTAAACACGATTCAGAAACAGAAAGTAGTGCAGCTGCTTTGTTTACAGGGTTTCCGGGGTAACGGCTGCATTTAAATGAATTATTATTATTATTATTATTTCTGCAGTTTAGCGCCATCTGCTGTCAGAGAGTGAAAGTGCGCTTTCATCCAGAGCGTCTCTCACATGTTCCGCCATGTGCTTCACATCCGCGCTTGTTTACATCAGAGTGCGCACGCGTCTGTCTTTCATGCAGCATACAGCGGTGTTGTGCATTTTGACCAGTTTATGGGAAAAGTATTCTTAAAATGCATTCAAAATTCGGAATAATTTGTAATATATATCATGCAATATCGTGCATATTCATTACCGTGATATATCGCATTACCGAATACCGGCACAAGTCTATGTGCATGTATACCTAAACACACACACACGCAAAAAATGGCCATACCTCCTGAGTGGCGGCTGCCAGCTGTCCTTCTAATGTAGTCACCCTTTCAAGAGCCACCCGTAACCTTTCACGCACCTGTGCAAATGAAAAACAAAAGAGACTTTAACAGCTAAATTTACACGTGCCAAGACAGCGCCCTCAGCATCCATTCCACTTCCAGTCATGTGATCAACTACTACTAATGTTACATAGTCATACATAGTCATGACTTTACATTTTTGAAAAGCATTAATTTGTTTCTTTAAAATATTACAAGTAGAGATGCATGATAGTGCGATTGTCACATCGTGATAGCTATGATTTAATTAGATAAACATAAGCTTTACTGTTTTAGAGAGAAGCACAGCATTTACACACATGTAGTTCATAATGCAGTGTTTCAGCATTTGAGAGCGGCTTGGTTCATTCACTGTAAATCAAGCCGTTCTGAGACACTGATATGATGTGAACATAGTGCCAAGTTTCAGTCTGCACCTAGCAGTGCATATTTTTATTGGTCCACAACCCATCAAAATAAAAGATAGATGTTTACCATTTGAAAACAATGAAACCAAGATGTAAATACTAGTATTTGCAATTTTTTTTAAATGAAATTATTTTTATTGTTCAATTTCTTTAGTACTTAATAGCATTTATTTTACAATATTTTTGAAATATATTTCTTATTTTGTTTAATATTATTTATAATAATTACAATAAAAAAAAAATAATTATTCTATAGTCATATTGAATTGGTCAAAAAAAGAGTAAAAATTACTTCTCAAACTTTTTAAAAATGATTTTTGATTTTTCTTATTGCTATATATATCACAGGGAAACAAAATATAGGAATGTCAGTTTTTTCCATTATTGTGCAGCCTTAATTACAAGATAAAAAAAAAAAACTCACTTTTTCATCCAGAGCTTTATGATGCTCAAAGAGGGATTTCAGAGCCTTGAGCACCTCCACCTCACTGGAAACCCCGGACGGTGGAGGAGCCTGCCTCTTCACCACAGTCATCCTCAGCGAACGCTCGTGACGTGACACCAGACACTCTAAGTGCTCCAAAAGAAGCTATAGAACAACAAAAATGCAGAAACACACAAGCACATGCTAACTCATCTATCGACTAGTCCTGGATCACATGACTTCAATTGTGCTTGTTCTATACATGGTTACTGCTACTCATAAGCTCTGTATAGTAACATGTAATGGCCCAGCACATTTTTAGAATCACTCAAGAGTGAAAATATAGTCAACTTTGGGCGCTTTACATTGGAAAAACATGCCGTAAGCGAAACGAACTGGCACTGCGACTACAAGCGAATCTACAAGCGAATGAACATCTTTTGCATCTTTTCCATTTCTCACCCGCATCACCTCAGCTGTGTGAACATCCTTTCAATGTACACAATCTCACACCGCTGATGCGGCACAATATTTGGCGAAGCATTTACATAAACATTTACCCACCAAATAATTTTCTGGAGAACTAATAGACTATTAAAAATGAGTAGTCTTACAATCCCCAGAACATACACTACCATTCAAAAGTTTGGGTACGGTAAGATTTTTTAATGTTTTTGAAAGAAGTCTCTTATCAGGCTGCATTTATGTGCTAAAAAATATCCTGACACAGTAATATTATGAAATATTATTACAATTAAAAATATCTGTTTTAAATTTTTTTTTCAAATGCCATTAATTCCCATGATGCAAAGCTGAATTTTAAGCATCATTACTCCAGGCTTCAGTGTCACATGATCCTTCAGAAATCATTCTAATATACTGATGTAGTGCTCAAGAAACATTTCTTCTTATTATCATATTTTCAGGATTCTATGATGAATAGAAAGTTCAAAAGAACAGCATTTATTTAAAACAGAAATTTTCCATAACATAAATGTTATGTACAGTGCTGTAATACTGTCGTGACAATACGACAGTACTGTCACGTCTGATCAACTGAATGTGTCCTTGCTAAATAAAAGTATTATTTTCCAATTTTTTTTAATTCTAAGATAATTAATTAATTAATTTTATTTTTTTTAAAGACCTGACCTAAAACTTTTGAACAGTAGTATACATAATGCTGACTTATGCTACTGATAATAATGAAAAGCACCAAACGAAATACTGGGACAGAACACAGCAGTCTGGACTGTACCTATTGTATTGAGATGTCTGGTCAACGTAACACACACAAATACATACTCACCCTGGTATTATTCCTCTCTGCTTTAAGCTCAGATATCTCCTCCTCTTTTTCTAGAAGCTGCTCTCGACACAAATTCAGCTCCTTAGTCAGGGTAGCAAACTCCTGAGAGAAGAGAGAAAAAAGGAGATGAATTCATTCACTTGAAATAAATAACGCACACTAATATGGCACTGTTACGGCGAACTAATACACAACACTCCTAATGTGGTTTGACATGTTTGTTATTTTAATTCAGAACGATTCTTCCAGGACAATACGGATCTACTCAGAATGATAATAACTCATCCACAGACCTCGTTTATGCATTTTCTTTCAAACAATCACAAACAATACTGTATGTTACTTACTGATCTATCTTTACAGTCTCCCTTAAATGGCCCAAGAGACAACAAGAATGAATGGTCATGGCCCATAGAGCTCCAGAGGTATTAAAGCTTCAAAATCCTGTTCAGACAATTACTGGCCTTTTATTGACCAGGGCCACTTGAACACACTCATTTTTAGATTCAGATATGTCTCAGTCAGCCAGCACAAACACCAAAACACCAGTCTCTTTGTAAAAAAACAGAACACATTATTTAGTTACTTATATATTTTACTCACATATGTTTTATTCACATAAGTGGTCACATGTAAATACACTGATGGTTGTGACATCATAGCCATAATATTAGAATGAACCATTTCTGTGTAATGGTGCACATTCACCATTGCGTAGCACATCAAACTATTTAATTTCAAAAGAGCAAGAGAAATCTTGTGCTTTATAAATACACCTTAAAATACACAATACACAGCCTTTAATGGGATAGTTCACCCAAAACTGAAAATTCTGTCAGCATTTATGTTTCTTTCTTCTGCTGCTTATGCTGGTAACTAAAAAAAGTTGACGGTAGCCATTGACTTCCATAGCATTTTTGAAACAACTTCCTATCCTTTAAAAAAAAAAAAACTTGTAACTAGCCTGAGACTTCACTTGCAAATCAATGACATGAAGCTATAACAGCACATGAGCCACTTTATGCAATACATCCCACTAACATTAACACTTCTCATTTCTCTAGCAGCATGAAGGCAGCGACACTCTGATTTCGGCTTTCTGCCTCTCAGTCCCGCCAGCATCTGGGCTGCAGTCTTGCGTGGCTCAATTGCTTCGTTCTGCGAAGTGCCCTGGCCGGGCCTCTGGCATTATTCCCAGTTTAACCCAGCTGTTCATCGGTCTTTTGGGAAACTTTCAGGGCACTGTTGAAGCATGTCAACACCCCTCCTTTTTCAGCATACATGCATTCATACGCTCTTTAATTCAAGTGCACAAAATACTAGGGGGCTGAAAAAAAAAATGTCACATGGATTCTCCGCAGATGGTGAAATGAAGAGAAGAACTGTCGTCTATGCTGCGGCAACAGGGGAATATGAAATTCTTTTGCAATGGTGGAGCATTAACAAGCCTAGGATGCATGCGGATGGGTTTAAATCTTAAAATGTCTTAAATAAAATAACCTCAGCTTTCAAAATAAATAACAAGGATTTACCACCCAGGATCACATGATCACAAATGCTTCCTTAAAGAGATAGTTCACCGAAAAAAAAAAAATTCTGCCATCATTTAAACCCACATTTAAATCACATCAAACCCGTATGTATTGCTTTCTTCTGTGGAGCACAAAAGAAGATATTTTGAGTGTCTCAGTGTTTCTTTTTTTAATCACTGTAAGTCAGTGGTGTCCAATAGTGTTGTTTTGGACCCCACTGACTTTCATTACGTGGACAAAAACAGTTGAAACATTCAAAACACCTTCTTTTGTGCTCCACAGAAAAAAAAGAAAAGAAATTCATACAGGTATTGAGAATGAGTAAATAATTACAAAAGTCATTTTTGGGTGGACTGTGCCTTTTTGAGCATTACATCTTCCATATGGAGGCCTCTCTTCTGTAAGTCTTAATGACCCTTGATTCTTGCTAATGAAGAGATGACCACACTGACAGTGAGTTTATATATAAAAAAGTATTCAGGCTATTGGGTCATGTATGATTTCCATGCTAAATGAAAACGTTTGAAGTCACATATTGTGTTAGTGTGCTGTTTTTCTGCTTTTTGAACAACGCTGCTTGACTGAAATGTAGGGGCAGAAAGGACCGGGAGGGGGAAGAGGAAAAAGGAAATGGGTCAGTGCGTTCATTTGATTTTTTTCACAGAAGTGGAGGAATAGGCAGAAAGCAAGTTCAAATCCACAATCAGATGTTGGATCTCAAAAAACAAAAAAAACAAAAACAAGCATTTTTCTAATACAGCAGGGCATGGATGGGAATGAATGAATAAATAAATAAATAAAACTAAAAACATGTTGTACCAAAAAAAAGCAATTCGATTTCAATCCACCATGGCTCCTCAATAAGAATAAACAAAAAGGAATTGAAAACATGTATTTGGGGTTTGTCATCAGAGATTCCTGTTTCAGTGCTGAATTCTAAGGTAAACTGTGTCTCCCAACTATTGAAGTAACACAAGAGGATTTTCTGTTCTGAGGTTTTGCATTTGAAACCCAGGATTATATTTGTATTGTGACTTGTGAGCGTGAAAAGCTAAAATCCCTCCAAGTATCTGACTTACTTTCTCATCTAGAACTTGGGGTACTGCTTAAATGCGGTTGCAATAAACTTTTCAGCTCACCCCAACAACTATTAATGCAAGAAATTAGTCTCTTTGCAAAACACACACACACACACACACAAAGTGGCACAAACAGATGTGCATTTGATTTATGGTACTTTCAAATGTGGTTCTTAACTTGTTACATATATGATATCTGGTCATAAACACCTGTAGCGGATTCTCCATGCTGTGTAAATGAGGGATGTGATAACCAATAAATGGTCAGTTAGTATTAAAGTTCTGCACATATTTTGCCTAAAAAAATGTAAACCAGTCATTTAAAACGCTACAAGTAAATTTAGCCATCACAATATTACTACACAGTATGAAAAGTAGATATTAATTTTATTTTCAGATTTGCTAAGGATTACATTTAATGTTGTTACTAAATTATTACTGCATTTAAAGATTAACTTTAGGTGCGTGTTAGATGATGGCAAGATAATCTCAGTGTAAAAATAGGGGGCAATAAGCATGCTTAATGAAATGCCCAATATTAGTCAATAACCATTATGGTCCTAATATACTGTGCATCCCTAATATACACGCATCCTAAACAGCATACACTACTGTACATACACTACAATGGTGCCTTCAAACCCTATTGGTGTTAAAACATAACATTTGCAACAGCTGTGATAACTATATGCCATTTACAAGCAAAGAACTACGAAAACTTTCCAGGTGAATACAATATGAAAAGCAAATCAGTCTGACTGAGACATAAATCATAGGCTGTGCCTCTGGAAACAGCACCTTCATTTATGCTCCACTGTAGGTACCACAGTTAACTAGTCTTTGTGTTTCAAAACCATTTTATCAGCAGAGAAAATTATAAGACCAGCATAATTACCATTTTCCTGAAAAGAAAGGAAGACACGACAGGAAAGGAAAACTGCTAATTACAGGTCATTTTTTATGGATATCTGTCATGTAAAAACAGTGAAATTATAGTTGTTAGGTGATAACATAAAAGGTGTGAGCTCTGTTTTGTATCTTTTTGTCTCATGAGAACACTGTTGCTGCCTATTAGCTCTTAAAATGTTGGATATAAACTTAACAACCCTTATGTTTTCTGTTATTTCCATTGGTTTTGAGGGCTTCCTGCATTATTTAAAACATTTTCTAGGGCAAAAAATATGCTTTCAAATCAAGACAATGTTTCTAAATGTCAAAACGTCCTGCAAAATGTGATGTACTGATAAAAGAAAGAAAAATCCAGTGTCGGCCAGCAGTGTGTGACCTTGTGAGATGGCTGTCGGCACCTCCAGGGATTTCTCTGTGTTTGGTTGGTAAAAGTCTTGGGATTTAGTAATGGAAGGAATACTGCCAAATATAGCAGCGTTTCTGAGTACAGGATTAAGTCATACTGCAGTCTGCATTACTACAAGCACCAACAGACTACACTCACACACATATTATAGAGACTAGTCAATATGCCACAAATGGTTTTCATAGCATACTACAGATTTAACAGTGTCGTACATGTTTAGAAACTGTTGTATGATTTGACACCTGATATGCTTTAGTTAAAAGTGATTGTGTGCTTCTTAACTCATATGACAGTGGAGTGTATGCCTAACTTTTTTTTTTTTACTAATAGAACTGCGGAAGATAGGTGGCCATGTAATCTCAACATTGCTGCCACTATGTATATTTACTTACTATAGCATAAAATATACTTTTTCTAGGCCCCTGATATAACTGTTTTCTTATCTAACTGGCATTTTAAACATTTGTTACAACTGCTATCTATTTCTTTAGGGGTAAAACATTTTGAAGAAAAAAAAAACAAGTAAAACTGTTACTATAAATGTCAGAGCAGATAAATGTAGGTAACACAAGTTTTTTTTTTTTAATAACCATTTCAAACTTAGTCTCAAATAACCAAATAAAGTACACTGAGCTTTTTCTGAACTTCTAGTGAACATATTTTGTAATGAGTGCCACAAACAGTTTTAAACCATTTCCCGACTTCCACCAGACATGCTTACTGTAAGCCGATTTCTCTTAGTCTACCCCAAATCCATAACAATGTTGTTGTCTTATACATGAAATGGGTTTTGAATAAAGAAACATGTTGACAATCAAGGACTGAGAAGAAAGGCCTTACGACTAACAGCAAACATCTGTTCGTCTTTAGCCACTCTCTGTTGCTGACTGAGACAGATCAGTCAAGCCTTCCTCGATGAGCACATTTACACACACAACAAAAAGCTAATCACTAGCAAAAATCAGCTCATTAAAAACCTTTTTGTTTTTTACATGGAAATGAGTTAACCAACAATGCAAGAAAAACTTGTTTACATGAGATTGTGCTCTAGTCTTGATGTCACAATCAAATGTGTGCATATGTAATACGTCTAAATGCAAATCTAAATCAGAATAATGAGCAACAAATGCGTCCACTGAGTTTTTCGTACATCATTAGTGACCTTTCTACAATCAA